GCGATTTCGGCTCACTGCAAGCTCTGCCTCCCATGTTCATGCCATTCTCCTGCCTCAGCCTCCCAAGTAGCTGGGACTACAGGCGCCCGCCACCGCGCCCCGCTAATTTTTTGTATTTTTAGTAGAGATGGGGTTTTACCACGTTAGCCAGGATGGTCTTGATCTCCTGACCTCGTGATCTGCCCGCCTCCCAAAGTGCTGGGATTACAGGCGTGAGCCACCACGCCCGCCAAGACCACCCTTTTTGACTGAGCTTGGTGTGTCCTTCCAGCCTCCCCTCCACCTAGCTCTGGACACTAATCTACCTGGAGTGTAGCTTTCACTGTTCCTACAGGGTTCCGCTACAGCATCAGCCTCGTAAAAGCACCTGAGATACCATTTTTTTTTCTTGAGAGTCCTTTTTGGACTGTCCTTCTCTGCCCTACACTAAAGGTTTTAGCTCCCTAAAAACCTCGTGTAATACTAGTGCTTAGGACAGTGCCTGGCACTTATTAGGTACTTTAATAAATATTGAATGAACACCTTGCTACAGAACCAGAGTACTGCTACTATATTCAGTAAGATACATGTACCAGTCAGAAACCTTTTAGAGACTTCAAATTCCAAATGCTTTGAAAGAGAAAAGCAAAAGGAAAAACACTTACAACTGTACTAACACATGTCCATCCTGTTAGTGTTTACCCTTCTCATAAACAAAAGACTTCAGTAAACTGTCAGTAGAAGACAACTGGACTACACACATTCAAAACTGTTTTTTTTTTGTTTTTGAGCCAGAGTTTCACCCGTGTTGTCCAGGATGGAGTGCGATAGCGCCATTTCGGCTCACTGCAACCTCCGCCTCCTCGGTTCAAGTGATTACCCTGCCTCAGCCTCCCACACAGCTGGGATTACAGGCGCCTGCCACCCGCCTGTCTAATTTTTGTATTTTTAGTGGAGACGGAGTTTCACCATGTTGGCCAGGTGGGTCTCAAATTCCTTATCTCAGGTGATCCGCCCACCTCAGCATCCCAAAGTGCTGGGATTACAGGTGTGAGCCACCGCGCCCGGCTTAAAACTCTTTAACATATTAAAACATTTTATTTTTAGTTTATGGTTTAAAAGTATGTATTCTCTGCAATTTCAATGTATTTGGCAAAGAAGATAAATGTTACTTAAAATTCAAGTTAATTATGTTTTACAATACTTTCTCCTAAAGACTTGGTGCTGAGTTTTCATATGTTGGAATTAGTTGCCTATGAATTAACAACTTTTTACCTCCCTTACCTGCTATTGTAAGTAAGAACAAATACTCTTAGACATGTATCAACTTCAAACCCTTTATAGAGTGAGATTAGGTAATATGTAAATAAATTAAAATTAGTCAAGCTTCCATAATGTCTAGCAAACTGCTTAGCTATCTTTTGGTTACTTCTGAAATTTTAAAAGTTTATATATTCCACTCATCTATTTTAAGACATTGATAAACTCTGATACATTTGTTTATGAAAGCTCTAAAATCTCCAAAGGAATATATTTATGAGTGTGTGTCCTATTACTAATTTCAATAACTGAGAAAGTTTCTATAAATCTACATTTTGTCTTTTGCAATGTGCGTTGTTCCTGCACGTTCCCTGTACAGAGAGGGCTACTGACAACAGCCTCAGAAGGCCTCCTCACAGGCAGGATCTCTGCCCTCAGCTTACTCTCTGTTACCAGCCAGTTTGTGATCCTTCATTTCTAGGTTCTTTGCCTTGTGTCTCCATTTGTGTTAAATGGGTACTTACCTTTTCCAAAATAACTTGCAGGTCTTCAGCACCAGTATAATGTGGATCTAGAATCAGAAACTTTATCTGCCCTGTAATCTCATTCCATGCAACTCCTAGTATCGTGTGGGCCAAAACTCCTCCCCCTATATCAGAAAAAATAGGAAATAAGAATGAAGACATAAACAAATGTCAAATGCCTATTCAATTTAAAAAGACAGATTATGGCCTGGCACAGTGGCTCACGCCTGTAATCCCAGCACCTTGGGAGGCCGAGGTGGGCGGATCACGAGGTCCTAATACAGTGAAACCCTGTCTCTACTAAAAAAATGCAAAAAAAAATAGCTGGGCGTGGTGGTAGGTGCCTGTAGTCCCAGCTACTCAGGAGGCTGAGGCAAGAGAATGGTGTGAACCTGGGAGGTGGAGCTTGCAATGAGCTAAGATCACGCCACCGTACTCCAGCCTAGGCGACACAGCAAGACTCAAAAAAAAAAAAAGATACTTTGCCTATTAACTGATCTAAAATAGCATTAAAATGGACTGCTCTAAACTATAAAAGTGTGGGGAAAAGAAAGTGAGATCAGACTGTTACTGTGTCTATATACAAAGAAGTAGACATAAGAGACTCCATTTTGTTCTGTATTTGAGATGCTGTTACCATCTCAAATCTGTGACCCTACCCCTGACCTTGTCCTTGCAAGAGACATGTGCTGTGGTGACTCAAGGTTTAAAGGATTTGGCGCTGTGCAGGGTGTGCTTTGTTAAATAAGTGCCTGAAGGCAGTATACTTGTGAAAAGTCATCACCATTCTCTTAATCTCAAGTACCCAGGGACACGTACACTGCCAAAGGTCGCAGGGACCTCTGCCTAGGAAAGCTAGGTATTGTCCAAGGTTTCTCCCCATGTGATAGTCTGAAATATGGCCTCGTGGGAAGGGAAAGACCTAATCGTCCCCTAGCCTGACACCCGTGAAGGGTCTGTGCTGAGGAGGATTACTATAAGAGGCAGAAGGCCTCTTGGCAGTTGAGATAGAGAAAAGCATCTGTCTCCTGCCCGTCCTGGGCAATGGAACATCTCGGTGTAAAACCCGACTATATGTTCTATTTACCTCAGCCTCCTGAGTAGCTAGGACTACAGGTGCACACCAGCACACCCAGCGAATTTTCTGTATTTTTTTTAGTAGAGATGGGGTTTCACTGTGTTAGCCAGGATGGTCTCGATCTCCTGACCTCGTGATCCGCCCACCTCGGCCTCCCAAAGTGCTGGGATTACAGGCGTGAGCCACCGTGCCCGGCCTTTTTTTTTTTTTTTTTTGAGACAGAGTCTTGCTCTGTCACTCAGGCTGGAGTGCAGTGGGCAATCCCGGTTCACTGCAACCTCCACCTCCCAGCTCAAGCGATTCTCCTATTTCAGCATCCCAAGTAGCTGGGATTACAGGTGCGTGCCACTACACCCAGTTAATTTTTGTATTTTTAGTAGAGACAGGGTTTTGCCATATTGGCCAGGCTGGTCTCAAACTCTTGGCCTCAAGTGATCCGCCCCCCTCAGCCTCCCAAAGTGCTGGGATTACAGGCGTTAGCTACCGGGACTGGCCTAACTCATTAAGTTCTTTCTGATATTTTGCTGACATCAGCCTACCTCCATTTCCTTTTTTTTTTTTTTTTGAGACAGTTTCTCACTTCTGTCACCCAGGCAGGAGAGCAGTGGATTTCTTGGCTCACTGCAGCCTCCTGGGCTCAAGCAATCCTCCCATCTCAGTCTCCTAAGTAGCTGGCACTACAGGCTCACACTACCATGCCGGCTAATTTGTGTATTTTTTTTTTTTTGGTAGAGATGGAGTCTGGCCATGTTGCCCACGCTGGTCTCAAATTCCTGGATGCAAGCTATCCTCCTGCCTCGGCCTCCCAAAGTGCTAGGATTACAGGTGTGAGCCACTACACCGTTTCTACCTCCATTTCGTACACACTAGTCTCAGCTTGCCTTCTGTCATCATAGGACAGGTCTGGTTCTTCACAGAATTAAGCATCTTTAGATCAGCTAATCCAATCTTCTTATTTTACAGATAAAATCCAGAGACGTAAGTAATTTGCAAAATGTCACAAAGCCAGCCAAGTTAGCAACAAAGTCATAACTTACGAAGCTCAGCTGAGTGACCATTTCCTCTTTTTTTTTTTTTTTTTTTTTTTTGAGAGGGAGTCTCGCTCTGTCGCCCAGGCTGGGATGCAGTGGCCGGATCTCAGCTCACTGCAAGCTCCGCCTCCTGGG